TTTAAGATGGACACGGCCCGAGGGTGTATACTACTCTGTCTACCATCGGTCTGGTTTATTACCAGTGGATCTCAGGTGAGGGATTCAGAGAAAGGTCTCATGGCCAGAGAGGGACCCTCCTCGATATCCAAGTCCTACGCTATTGTTATTAGATGTTGAACCCTGCAGGTCTGATATGGACTCTAGTTTGGATTACTAGAGGGTGCGGCCCTCCATCTCCGAGACCGATATTTTTATTTACACAAGTAGAGAGCGGACCCCTCTCATATACTGAACCAGACACTGCTTCATTATTAGAGGGTGCGGCCCTCCCTCAACATCAGCCCGATACTGAGAGGGATACAGAGGACATACTTCGAGTGTGACACACTCTCATAGAAGGAAACGGACACGGAGGTAGACTCTAACTTTTGCTATTAATGGATGCGGCCCACTCATGATATCATCCGGATGCTAACATGGAGTTCGGCTACATTATTAGAGAGTGCAGCTCTCTCTCATACAATCAATACACTACGGTGTCATCCATTTGTTCATCACACAGGCTTGTACCTGTACAGGACAATGATGACTGCATAGAAGGGCGTCCCTCCTGCTCTCAATCCAATATAGAGGTGCGTACCACATACCGAGTTCACCGCTGATGATTCGGCTCTGGTACAGGGGTATAGTACCTCACCGGTACGCAAGGGAGACAATGCTCCATAACAACTGGGCAAGGGGAGAGAACCCCTCCTCTAGATCTACGACCATGCTACCAATTTTGCTTCAGAGGTCTACCTGATCATGCAGGGTATACAGGTTTAGACCGGATTCCTCTATTTTCACCTCCTATATGATCCTACTGGATCCGGCCACTGTATCCCACGCGAGAAAGACTCACAGAGGTATTACTGGGAGTGATTTCCCGCTTGTTTGCACACGTCCCGGAGCCCTTATGGGACAGTATAGGGACTGTTTGAGCTGACCAGCTTTTTGAGCTGTTCCGCCCCCATGATTGCTCCATTTTTTTGGTGACCCTATAACATTCCTTTGGATGTACTCCTGGAGACGGTACGGCTAAGGGTTGAGCCTCAGCTTTTGCAAGATTGCAGGTGTCGGTATAATCAGACAAGCAATCGCACTCCATTCAGGTTATGCAGACCATTGCAAACGAACTGTACAGACAGTTCTTTCCCATGTCAAGGTGACACGAGAGCCTGAGGCCTTCATAGAGCAAATGTGCACTGCCATGCTTGGGTAAAAAGACTAGGGAAGGCCCACAGCCCGGTCTGCAGCTACGCCGTACGCATGGAAAGACCGGAGTACTCGATCGACTTGTTTTCATTGGTCGTTAACAATCTTGGAATAAGATGACTGGACTACCTCCACTCCTCTGGGAACATTCTTGGAGGGCCCTCCTTCTATAACCTAAATCCCTCATGGGAACCGTACTGGGGTTTCTCGCTAACCCACCAATTCAACTGTCAGCAAGGATACCTACTCTATAAAGGAACGATGTGTGTCCCCTACTCCTACACGGACGCCACAAGTCAGGACACAACCTACCACTGGAGTACTACTCAGGATGGGTAGCAGGCTTGGATATGGCTGCCGACGTTCTCAAACCGGAAGATTGAAGCTAGGTCTGTGTTTCGTTATATCTGCTATCTGGAAGTCCTGTTGTGAGTGAAGGGGCTTTACGTCTTAGAGAACACTATGAGTCCACGGGACTCCAGGCTAAAGGGATGCTTTGACTTCATTTATCAAATTCACTTTCCTGGGCCTAGGGCCTACTCTTGGAGATCATACCCGGATAGTCAGGGGTGCAGGGACCTAGGGACTCATTATTGTGGCAAAGCTAGCCACTTTAGATTGTACGGTTATATGTCTAAATGTTGTCCTAGAAAGCTGGTGCAATTCTGTTAGGTTCTTAGTTTTAACCAAGTCTGGGGACACAGGCTTAAAGGGGCAGTGTCCCAAACAAGTCTGGGGACACCTTCTTAAAGGGGCATTGTCCCAAAAAGGTGCTTAAAGGGCCAGCATCAGTCCCATAAAAAGTCCATAAGCCCCAATATGCTCACAGACTGTTCTTAAAGAGCCATACACACCCGGTCCATAGTCTTGGGGGAGGAGGCTGGCAAATAGGCTCCTCCATAATCCAGGGAAGCAGGGCAATTTGTCATTTAAAGGAACATTTACAAAAGGCATTTTGTAACAGGAGCGGAGCATCAGTTTTACCTATTTAGAATAGACAATATAAAACAGAGAGAAAATATTAGCACATCATAGTCACTATGCAAAAATGGATTATATTTATACACCATACAGCAAAAAGAAGCAGAAATAAAGTGCATAATACGAATGTGAAAATATCACTACATATAATGACAAACGTTACACAATAGAAATATCAATGCAAATAAAAGCAGACATGTTTTAATTAGAAACCCATAAATGTTATCTTTGGTACACAAACCCGAGAGTGGAGAAAAAGTCCCAACGTTTTGACTTGATGCCTTTCTCAAGGGGATCTCATGTCTCTGTACACCTGTCCACCCCCCCACGCCCCCCCTGTCTTGTGTGTAACCTTAGATCCTACATATTGCTAAACACCTATTTATGTTTATCAAACAACTCTCTCCCTCCCTCCTCCTCCTCACCCCTCTCCCCCCGACACCTCCTCTCCCACTGCATTTTACAGATCTGTTCTCGTCTGGGGTTTTTTTTGTTTCGTACCGGTCATATCATATGATGTGCAGATACCTAGGACTACGTGGTGCAATGTTTGCTAAATGCACATTCTTATAACAAATGCCCCAACTAAATCCTCAGGCTGTCATGTGTTTCTATCATTAAATGCAAGAAAAATATATAAAAAGAAAAAAGTTTTTTTTATATTTTAATGTTTTGAAAATTTTTTTTTTTATTTGTTTATCCAAAAATGTTAAAAATCATTTCAAAAGCTTATGCAAAAATATATAAAATCCAGGCCTATGTTTGATAAAGAAAAATAAAAAATGGATTGCAAAAAAATTATTTGTTTAGTGTTGCAACATCACAATAGTTGCAAACAAAGACCCTGTGGTTTAGTTACCTGACTGAGCGTAGAATCATTTCGGAACATTTACATTACTTCCTCCTTTAAATACATTCCCAGAGACCCCTTATTGGATCCCGTTCGCATGCATTGACAATCAGATGTTAGATCCGCACCATAACACAACTGACCCGTACACTTCCGTTGAATCATATGTCAAAGGTACAAGAATAACGTTACTTTTAATGACATTTTTTTTAATTTGATTTTATGGTACGTTTTAACATCTTCTAAATATACAGGGAGTGCAGAATTATTAGGCAAGTTGTATTTTTGAGGATTAATTTTATTATTGAACAACAACCATGTTCTCAATGAACCCAAAAAACTCATTAATATCAAAGCTGAATATTTTTGGAAGTAGTTTTTAGTTTGTTTTTAGTTATAGCTATGTTAGGGGATATCTGTGTGTGCAGGTGACTATTACTGTGCATAATTATTAGGCAACTTAACAAAAAACAAATATATACCCATTTCAATTATTTATTATTACCAGTGAAACCAATATAACATCTCAACATTCACAAATATACATTTCTGATATACAAAAACAAATCAGTGACCAATATAGCCACCTTTCTTTGCAAGGACACTCAAAAGCCTGCCATCCATGGATTCTGTCAGTGTTTTGATCTGTTCACCATCAACATTGCGTGCAGCAGCAACCACAGCCTCCCAGACACTATTCAGAGAGGTGTACTGTTTTCCCTCCTTGTAAATCTCACATTTGATGATGGACCACAGGTTCTCAATGGGATTCAGATCAGGTGAACAAGGAGGCCATGTCATTAGATTTTCTTCTTTTATACCCTTTCTTGCCAGCCACGCTGTGGAGTACTTGGACGCGTGTGATGGAGCATTGTCCTGCATGAAAATCATGTTTTTCTTGAAGGATGCAGACTTCTTCCTGTACCACTGCTTGAAGAAGGTGTCTTCCAAGAACTGGGAGTTGAGCTTGACTCCATCCTCAACCCGAAAAGGCCCCACAAGCTCATCTTTGATGATACCAGCCCAAACCAGAACTCCACCTTCACCTTGCTGGCGTCTGAGTCGGATTGGAGCTCTCTGCCCTTTACCAATCCAGCCACGGGCCCGTCCATCTGGCCCATCAAGACTCACTCTCATTTCATCAGTCCATAAAACCTTAGAAAAATCAGTCTTGAGATATTTCTTGGCCCAGTCTTTACGTTTCAGCTTGTGTCTTGTTCAGTGGTGGTCGTCTTTCAGCCTTTCTTACCTTGGCCATGTCTCTGAGTATTGCACACATTGTGCTTTTGGGCACTCCAGTGATGTTGCAGCTCTGAAATATGGCCAAACTGGTGGCAAGTGGCATCGTGGCAGCTGCACTCTTGACTTTTCTCAGTTCATGGGCAGTTATTTTGCTCCTTGGTTTTTCCACACGCTTCTTGCGACCCTGTTGACTATTTTGAATGAAACGCTTGATTGTTCGATGATCACGCTTCAGAAGCTTTGCAATTTTAAGAGTGCTGCATCCCTCTGCAAGATATCTCACTATTTTTGACTTTTCTGAGCCTGTCAAGTCCTTCTTTGACCCATTTTGCCAAAGGAAAGGAAGTTGCCTAATAATTATGCACACCTGATATAGGGTGTTGATGTCATTAGACCACACCCCTTTTCATTACAGAGATGCACATCACCTAATATGCTTAATTGGTAGTAGGCTTTCGAGCCTATACAGCTTGGAGTAAGACAACATGCATAAAGAGGATGATGTGGTCAAAATACTAATTTGCCTAATAATTCTGCACTCCCTGTATGTTTTATGACATATCCATCACATAGGTCTAATATCACATCATATAAGGTATAATTATACATGTCTGCTCTCATTGTATTGATATTAAATGCACCCTGTTGGGAATATCTGATATATTATATTTAAATATTATGCTCTTTTCAGACATTGGTGAAAAGGAAGTTCGAATAATCTAATGGATAAATCACTCAAATGAGCTACTCCAGGGACAGTGAACCATTGGCTCAGTATTACTAGTTTGTAGAACTACAGCTCCCCCTTCTGGGCAGAAAGTATAATGCAAAAAGTTCGATCATACTAAAAAAAGGTTTTACTTTACTCTATTTATATGAACATTTTATATTTGATTTGTAAATTGTTATAGATTTTTGGGGGCATGTTTCATGATAACGAAAGATATATGATCTACTGACTGGTGGGAGCATTCGCTACTTATGAGCCAAGGGGAACGTTCGTCGGTGTTCGCACAGGAACTCCCGAATCTCTGAAACTCTTTTGGGGCATCACCTCGTGGCCGGCTGGTCAAAACTTCTCCCGAATGGCGATTTCGTCTCACCAAACAGATCTGAGCGCTTTATGGATATGTTGGGCGCTCAGACATGGGCTATTCGGGAATATAAGACTTGTGGGGTTCCGATACTATTTTCTTATGTTTTCGGGTGATTTTCAATATTATATGTTATTTCCTGTAACTGAGAGATAATTGAGTTACCGGTTTAGAGCTCAATTATCTCTCAGTCCCAGAGACTCCTGGGAAAAAACCCTTGCAATGTTTCTGTGGAGACCCCATGTTAGGGGCCATGCATAAAAAGCCGTGTGTGGCTAAATAAAAATCAGTTGACTCCAAGAACTGTGTGTTGTCCAGTTACTGGGGGAATGGGCTATAATTACTGAACTTCACTTTCTTCCAGCTCCTGAGGATTCCAGCGGAGATATTGTATCTAAGGATTGCTGCTCCGCTACACCTGGGTAACCCATTGGAACTGTGATGTGAAATATTGTTTTAGAGTTAGCTATTAGTTGTGCTGTCAATTTTTAAACAAATCTTTTTATCTAAAATCTAATTGACATGCCCTGTTAGCCGTAGCATTTATATTAAATGAAAGGACACATGTAATCACTATTTTTTAATTATGCTCTGTTGAAAGAGCAGAGAATTCTGTATATACAGAGTGGTGTTTTTTTTCTAGCAATGTATGGATTAGGAGAAAAACCTGTCTAAAAATAGGTCTTTCTCCCACTTCTCAGTCAAATCTTCGGCATAGACTCACACAAGAGGTCCTTCCCAAGCATAGCAATCACCGCGCATGCACTGTGGTTGCTATGGTAACTCTCTAGCCATCACTGCACTACTAAGGATTATAGCAATGATATGACATCATACACAGTGTGTTTATGGTCCTGCTTGGGGAAGTGTCCGCTAGCAGGGCAAATCACTCAATACAGCAGGTGGAGTGAAGGTGAACCAGCGTTATAAAAAGATTAACACCTACGAACCTCAGAACACAGCGCTGGAATGGAGCTGAGTAAATTGCAATATTTCACATCATGTAACTCTATGATATACAATGTATTTGGGGGAAGTTAACTAAAGTTAAATTTTTTTTTTCCTTTTGTTCTATTTAATAGAAATTGCAAAAGGGAGATTAGATGGGCTTTGAAATAAAAAGCTCATGGCCAACGAGAGGGTACTGAGTGTGCATGCGAGTGCACGCCACAAAGTCGAACTAGGGTTAGGGTAGGCTTGGACTTGGGGTAGGGTTGGGGGAAGTGTTGGGGGTACGGTTAGTGCTGGGGTAGGGTTAGGGGTAGGGTTAGGCTTAGGGAATTACAGAAGTGCCAAATTTCGGATTGCCGAACCGAAGTGCCAAAGTCCCAAATTTCGGAAGCGCCAGACCAAACCAAATTTTTTGCCCATGCACATCCCTAAAAGGGATACAATAGGCAGGAACTGTCCCCAATTATTAAAACATTGCATAAAAAAACATGGTGACAAAAAATAAAAAAATACTGACCTTTATATGGAAACTCCCTTATGTGTGAAAAGCGTATCCTCTTTTTTTCGTTATATATATTGTACAGATTTCAAAAGAAATTGATACATATAAATTAATCTTGTTATGCTACCACCCCACCCTGCTGCCTATTAATCAGATAACCGGTCCTGTTACCAGGGCCGGTGCAACTATTTTGCGCCCAAGGAAAGACCAGCTACTTGCATCCCTTAAACAAAAATTGACAACTTTGTGTGTCTATTTCTTCCCCCAGCCCTTCTTTGTGTCTCTTTCTCTCCCAGTCCCTCTGTGTGTCTCTTTTTCCCCTACCATCCCCCGTGTGCCTCTTTCTCCCCCTCCCACCAGCCTCTGTGTGCCTCTTTCCCCCCTCCCACCAGCCGCTGTGTGCCTTTTTCTCCCCAACCAGCCCCTGTGTGCCTCTTTCTCCCTCCACCAGCCGCTGTGTGCCTCTTTCTCCCTCCACCAGCCGCTGTGTGCCTCTTTCTCCCTCCACCAGCCGCTGTGTGCCTCTTTCTCCCCCTCCCATCAGCCTCTGTGTGCCTCTTTTTCCCTCCACCAGCCCCTGTGTGCTCTTTTCTCCCTCCACCAGCCGCTATGTGCCTCTTTCTCCCCCCTCCCACCAGCGGCTGTGTGCCTCTTTCTCCCCCTCCCACCAGCCGGCTGTGTGCCTCTTTTCTCCCCCCATCCCACCAGCCGCTGTGTGCCTCTTTCTCCCCTCCCACCAGCCCCTGTGTGCCTCTTTCTCCCTCCCACCAACCTATGTGTGCCTTTTCCTCCCCCCTCCCATCAGCCTCTGTGTGCCTCTTTCTCCCCACCAGCCCTGTGCCTTTTTCCTCCCCCTCCCATCAGCCTCTGTGTGCCTCTCCCTCCACCAGCCACTGTGTGCCTCTTTTTCCCTCCACCAGCCGCTGTGTGCCTCTTTCTCCCCATCCCACCAGCCGCTGTGTGCCTCTTTCTCCCTCCACCAGCCGCTGTGTGCCTTTTTCTCACCCTCCAGCCCCTGTGTGTCTCTTTCTCCCTCCACCAGCCCTGTGCCTCTTTCTCCCCCATCCCACCAGCCCCTGTGTGCCTCTTTCTCCCCATCCCACCAGCCCCTGTGTGCCTCTTTCTCCCCCTCCCACCAGCCTCTGTGTGCCTTTTTCTCCCCAACCAGCCCCTGTGTGCCTCTTTCTCCACCTCCCATCGGCCTCTGTGTGCCTCTTTCTCCCTCCACCAGCCACTGTGTGCCTCTTTCTTCCTCCACCAGCCGCTGTGTGCCTCTTTTTCCCCATCCCACCAGCCCCTGTGTGCCTCTTTCTCCCCCTCCCACCAGCCTCTGTGTGCCTCTTTCTCCCCTACCAGCCTGTGAGACTTTTTCTCCCTTCCCCAGCCCCCGTGTACCTCTTTCCCTCAGAAGCTCCTCTACTGTGGTAATGGCTTGGCCATGTTACATGCTGTAACCAGCAGGAATGGAGGACTGTGCTGTGCGCTCCCCTACTGCCGGTCACCAGGACACTGTGCCCTCCGAGCTTTAGTGCCCCAAGGCGGCTGCCTAACTCACCTGGCGGTCACACCGGCCTGTTATTTCCTAGTTTGTTTGTCTCAGTGGAGATAAACTCAAGAGGCAGCAATTGCCCAGAGCACCTGCCTTGCAAAGACTTCTCATTGAGCTGCATTGGGAAGTCTGTGATTGGACAGCCACAGAAAGTATTGACGGGGTTAGAAGGGGAGCGGGATTCTTTACAAGCTATTTTTAGAGTCGCAGTGAAAAGAAATACATGATTAAATCATGCATGTTTAATTTGTGGTATATCTACTAAACAGTGATCTTTGATTTATTTATGTTTTGGCCAGTGGAGTGTACCTTTAAAGTTCCTAAGATGATGCAACAGACAGACTCCTCCCTGGAGGAAGAGGCTCTGCCCACTAGGTACCTCTCATTTTGCTCTGTATTTGTTGGGGAGGTTCTGGTTGTGCGTGGAACACACACAAGCTGTGCTCACAAACTATTTGTCTATGTGAAATGCTTGAAGGTATGGAGGAGACATTGCTTTTGGGGCAACATGGAGACATCAGTAACTAACAAAAGATACCAATAATATCGCAGTCATGAATGAATAAATACCATACACTCTTTATTACCAAAAAAAATTCTTGTTTCTAAAGGAAAACGTTATCGTTCACAGACGATATTACATAAAAAAACTAAAATACACGTGACATTGCTTTACACGTATGGTAATATTTATCCTCATGCCAGATTATCTATTACGCAAAACAGTGCAGTGGAAATAACAAACAAACAGAAAAATATACTGACAAAATAATATCTTATAAAATAGCATATTTTATATCAGAATCAGAACACATTATCTTCTCCCCTCTCTATCTCAGCCTCACTTGGACTGTACCTTCCCTACCCTCAAAGGCTTCTCTCCAGCTACTAAACAGGAGGTGGATGCGCTTCTCCTTTCCTCTCGTCCCACCACATGTCCGCTTGATCCCATCCCGTCACATCTCATTAGATATCTAGCCCCTTGTCTGGTGCCATCGTTAACAAACATCTTCAACTGCTCTCTTTCTTCTGGTTTTGTCCCAGATCCTTTTAACCCCTTGGTGACCGCGGACGTACAGGTTACGTCAGACAAAAAACGGTCGTTATCGACTGCTGACGTACCCTGTATGTCCGCGGCACCTTTGAGCCCTGGAAGCGATCATGATCGTTTCCTGCCACTCTAAGGGTACTGCAACGATGCTTATAAAGCCTTTACACGCCCTACAATTTGACTTAGAGCACTCTGATTGGTTTATTCCAAGCCAACCAATCAGAGAGCTCTGACAAGTAAATGAAGAGACTGACAGGTTAGTCTCTACATTTACCTGTCACAGCACTCTGATTGGTTGGCTTGGAATCCAACCAATCAGAATACAGTGAGTCATTTAACACAGCGTGGGAAAGTTCTTTGGAATTTTCCCACGCTGTGTAATTTGACTCATAACAACACTCTGATTGGTTGCTTTAACCAATGAGAGAGTCATTTTACATAGCGTGGAAAAGTTATTTGGAATTTTTGCTGCCCAGTCACTAGTAGTTTTAAATTTGTTTGGGTGATATGCGGGAGGATTTAACTTATCTTTTATTAATATGGGGGTCATAGTGAACACCATAGGTTTTAATGCAGTGGGTGGAGGGAGGAATTAATATTATTACACAGAGGGAGCTGGTAGCGCTGCTGGTTCCCTCCTTGCTTTTTTATTATTATTTTTTTTGTGCATGAGCAGCGTTATTTTCGTCATAAAGGACGAAAACAAATATATTTTTTTAATGAATTTCATTAGAAAACAAATGGTTTACGAACGAAATTCAGGATTGACTAATTAAATTTTTATTTAGGACAAAATCATTTGTACGAAATGACAATTTCACTGATGCACATGTCTACTGTGATCTCCTAAGTTAGGGTTTTAATAAATGGCGTGGGAGAAAGCCCTGGGT